ATCCGAAATGTGTTACTCGTCAGTCCATGGAAAACAATGATACAACACATACTATCAGGCACACCGTCTAAAGGGGAAAAGAAGATAAAGATCACTCGGACCATGGGTATAAGACAAATAACATAAATATCTATCATTTATATTTATTTATAGATAATATAAACTTTTAACATTGACTTAAGACTAACACTATTTACTGTAGAGGACAGACTGTTTGAGTGATCATCTGAGTGCGAGTGCTGGTAACGGTGCTATACTCAGGAACATATAAAGTGCTTGTAACTGGAATGGTATCTTCCACAGTCAAGGACATTTCCACCGTAAGTTCCTGAGTCTGTGTCCACGTCACCGTAGATGTTTGGGTTTGAAAAACAGTGTGAATGGCATCAGATAAAAGCGTTTCATAATTTGTTGTTGCTGAAGAAAAGTTTGTTTGCTTCAACAGTATTGAAGACAGTATAGTGGTTGGGGGTTGATAACGGTAGCAAAGTTCACAAGAGTTGTGGTGAGAGAGAGGGTGGTGCTCAGAATGCGAGACACTGGAATAGCCACAGTGGTCGTTATCACGTACGTCTCTGTCACCTGTAAAAAATGTAATAGTTAATTTTTAATTCACATTTGCTGTGTATGGAAATTAAATGTTTTTCTTATATTCAAAGATGCTGAATGACTAATATAAATATAATTATGTACCTGCAATTTGCTGGTTTCAGATCTTATGGGGAAGAGGCTTGAAGTGGTATAAGGGACTGTGCTTGTTAAGGGCACTGCAGATAGCTTGTATATTGGTGCTCTAAGCGCTTCTTTTACTATATGAACATCCTGGAGTTGTACAGTAGTCTGGGAGAACTGAGGCACCTGGGAAACATCACACTTGTGTAACTTTTTGAAAAAGAATCCTACAGCAGGATGCTGGAAGATCAACACGATGAGCAGGACAAACACAGATGCCATGTTATTGCTAGGCTAAGACGGTGATGAGGAGTAAGACGATGATGATCACAGCCTTGTTGACTTCTGACTGATTATAAAACGAACGAACGAACGAAAGTTCAGGTAAGATCCCAAATGGGATGAGCGGGGAAGACTGGACAGACGAAGAATAGTGCTGGAGAGGAGTGTTCTTAGTTGTAGAAATAGAGCCAGGGCTTAACCCAGCAGCTAAGTCGATCGTGGGACAGGCATTGAGAACACACATAGCAGGCTCTTCTGTTGCGACTCCGGTGGGTGAGTGGGGAAGTGTGGACAGACGATGAACATTCGTGAGAGGAAGGTCTTGAGTTGTAGATGAAAGAGCCAGGGCTAAACCCAGCTGCGTGGCACTGCGAGGCAGTGTAGAGAGGGCATGTTGAGGACATAGAGGAGAGAGCAGACTGCAGACAGTGCTCGCCGACTGATATGCTTCAGGCTGAGGTGAAGAGCTGGTTCGGACGTCAGGTGTTGGGAAGGGTGTTGTGTGTTTGGCTACACTTCGCTGGTGATGGAGCCACACTTGAGGCTTGGCTTAGGTAACGGTTGCCTGTGGTTTCTTCTTCGACTACTACTTCGTCGTTGTCCGAGGGTTGTTCATAATGTTCTGGTACTATTTCGTCTTCTGTGACTGTGTTGAGAGGAGGCCGGGAGTGTTGGTCGGTCGTGATTTGTTGGGCTGGTGGTGGGTGGTGAGAGGTGGCAGTAGACGGTGGTGTTGGTTCTGGAAGTAGAGTCTTGGTCAGAGATACGAGTAGGACCAGGGGTTGAGGTGAAGTTAACAATGTCTGGAATTAGCTTGAGGAGGTCTTGTGATGGTGGCGAGTCTGGAAAGTTGGAAGTTTGGCATGTTGTTTAGGCGAAACAGTTCATGATTGTTTGGTTTTGTAATGAGCCAGGGTTTTGCAGCATTAGTAAGGTGTGCATACATCATACAGTTATAGCACCTTGGATGGAGCAGCGTCAGGAAGAGCAGAGAGGGACGGGCTGGGTGGAGACGATTGTTGTGTAGTTTGAAGGAGTTCGGTGGTATCTGATTAAATTTTTTGCAATGGCGGCGTATGTTATTTGATTTAGGGTTGTTCTTCTTGGTTTTCTCAATGATTTTCTTAGACAGGACTTCTTTTCGTAGAGGGCATTTTGCTGCAAGGGTTGGTGAGTACCCTTGCAGTTGAGGCGGGTAGGAGGGGTAGTGGTAGTAGAACTTCCTTGAAGTCATGCGTCTTTACCGCAGTTTGTGCAGTACTTCTTCCTTTCAGAGGACAGTCAGGCGTTGAGTGTGATAGGAGTACAGGTCCAGCATGGCGAGATGTGGGCGAAACGTCTGGTTCTATGTGATTTGGGATGGATATGATAGTAGGAGATAGCTAGGCCGCAGACAGGCTCTAGTAGCCATCTCGATGTTGGAGAAGGTTAGCTTGATCATTGTAGAGGCGTTGGGAATTTTGGTGATAACTTCAATCGACGCCCGGTTTTTTTGTTCCTCGATAGAGGTCTTGAGATCCTCAGTCGAAAAAGAAGTGACGAGTTTGTCCAGCCGTTTGACGAAAACGGAACGTTTCCCCAGCAAAAAAGGTGAAGGGGAGATGGTGAACTGTCGGTCTCTGAGGGTTTTCATAGAAGTGTCGGCGATCAGCTTTGTGGCTTCATAATCGTCAGTACAGACGCGATGAATGAGTCTTTCGTCGAGTGGATGGCTGTAAATTTAACTTGTAGGCAAGTCTGCACAGCGGCAGCAGGGCAAGTTTTGTAGAGTCATTTATTACTCCACTGTTGGGTTTGATCCTTACACGGTTTGCAAGCATCATGAAGGAGTAAGTCAGGCGCTGGTACGATGATTATAGGTTCCCCTCCCCGACGGGGATCGAAGGAACACTTCTTGAGGTGAGAAGCGACTGTGTCTTACGATGATTTGTTACGATTATAAAAGTTATCATCACGCCTTTATATAGTGCCACTTTCAGGAGGTACAAGTAGTAGTAGTAGTAGTGGTTGTGGTAGTAGTAGTAGTAGTAGTAACAATTATGGTTGTAGTAGTAAGGCAGTAAGAATAGAGAAGAATTGATAAAATAGACACATGTGCAACTTTTGGGTATCTTTAATGAGGAAACGTTTCGCCACACAGTGGCTTCATCAGTCCATACGTAGGAGAAACTTGAAGAACAGGAGGAGAATCAGGTAATCAGTCCCTCAACCTTGAGTCGATGTGTTCAGTCCATCAATCTTGAATAGAATACGGCATATCAGCGGAGAAGCAGCTTATAAACCGTATGGCAGAAGAGGTGCAGCAGTTACAGGTCGTGTCACATTTGTTCAATGTGGAAGTAGGTCGTGCCCAAGAATTAGGCAAGCGAAGAATTCCTAAGTATTAAGATCCCAAGAAGTTGTAGTGTCTGACAGATTTGTAGATGAATGGTTCAGAGAACCGACATGTTGATAAATTAGACACGTGTGCAACTTTTGGGTATCTTTATTGAGGAAACGTTTCGCCACACAGTGGCTTCATCAATCCATACGTAGGAGAAACTTGAAGAACAGGAGGAGAATGAGGTAATCAGTCCCTCAACCTTGAGTCGATGTGTTCAGTCCATCAATCTTGAATAGAATACGGCATATCAGCGGAGAAGCAGCTTATAAACCGTATGGCAGGAGAGGTGCAGCAGTCATAGGTCGTGTCACATTTGTTCAATGTGGAAGTAGGTCGTGCCCAAGAATTAGGCAAGCGAAGAATTCCTAAGTATTAAGATCCCAAGAAGTTGTAGTGTCTGACAGATTTGTAGATGAATGGTTCAGAGAACCGACATGTTGATAAATTAGACACGTGTGCAACTTTTGTGTATCTTTATTGAGGAAACGTTTCGCCACACAGTGGCTTCATCAGTCCATACGTAGGAGAAACTTGAAGAACAGGAGGAGAATGAGGTAATCAGTCCCTCAACCTTGAGTCGATGTGAGGAAATGGTATGGTGATACCGACAAGATGTGGAAAAAGACACTTATGTACAGTTCAGGACATTTATTAAAGGAAACGTTTCGCCACGAGTGGCTTCTTCAGTCCTAATACAGAGAAAACTAAGAAAACACATATATATATAAGTGGCGGGAGTCAGGTGAGGTGATGCGTGAGTAGAGGTGGTAGTAGTAGTAGTAGTAGTGGTAGTAGTAGTAGTAGTAGTAGTAGTAATAATGGAACTAAGGAGGTGAGGCTAGAGAGGGACCTGCTGGCATCAAGTAACACCAGTTCCCAGGATGGGTAATATCCTCTTGCTTAGTAATTTTGAAATACTGTAACTACCGGATTTTTGCTTTATAGTGTTACTGACAGAAATTAGTGCAGCTTCAATGCATTTTCTCCGTCTTAAGTCGTCTTCTTTAATAACTAGTTTAGCTTCATTGAATTTCATGAGGTGTCCAACATCGTCTCTATGTTGAACACATGCGTTTTTGCGGTCATCATTTCTGCAAGCATTTTTGTAAAGTAAAAGGACACAAGTGCAACTAATGTGACATTTATTGTGGCAACGTTTCGCTCTCCAGGAGCTTTATCAAGCCATTACAAACAATACATAACGAACGAACGAAAGTTCAGGTAAGATCCCAAATGGGATGAGCGGGGAAGACGGGACAGACGAAGAATAGTGTTGGAGAGGAGTGTTCTTAGTCGTAGAAATAGAGCCAGGGCTTAACCCAGCAGCAAAGGCGATCGTGGGACAGATATTGAAAAGAGAAATTCCGGTTCTTCTGTTGGGACTCCGGTGGGGTGAGCTGGGAGTAAGGGACTTGCAACGTTTAGAGCTAGAGAGGAGTGCAGAACTGAGCCATGTCTTAACCCAAAAAAGCTAAGGCGAACGTGGGTCAGAGAATGGTACCTGTCTTAGAAGGTACCTGTCAGCGGATCCAAGGTTATTTGTAAGTAGGGTTAGGAGCAGCATCATGCAAGGAGTAGAAAAGGTTGTGTTGCTTTGTGGGTCTGCGAATGTCTTCGTCAAGGAGAGAGGTCCAGTAGTCATGTGTCTCAAGTTTGTCTATCTGTCTGTCACTGAGCCTCTTCTAGTACAGATTCAGCGCAGGACTCTAACTGGGCATGGAGAGACTCGCTTGTGGCGAAGTCCTCCATCTGACATCAAGCACCAGCGCAGCGCCTTGTTTCTGGACACGCTGCAGTTTAAGTAAGTTTGTTTTTGCTGCAAGAGAGAGGGCTAGAGGAGAGTAAGTATCAGAGGACGTATTAGGGATTTGTAGTAGGTGTAGTTTGGTGCGTTGAGAGGCATGTTCAGCTTGTAGAGGCCCGCAAGGGCCTTACTAGCTATTGCATGCCTGAGTGAATGTGTCCGTGTAAACGAAGAAGGTAGTCAAGATTAACGCCAGGACAGTGACAGATTGTGTGATAGGGAAGTAAGTGCGGGTGTCAGCTGTTCTGAGTTCGACAGGTAATGGAGGATCACGTTTCCTGTAGTTAAAATACGTAATGCTGGATTTTGCTGCATTGGTTTTTGATCCTCCATTTTTGTTCCCAGATGGCTATCCGTCAACCTCATTTGTGTTTTTGTGAGAGTATCTATTTGGCATGAGTGATAAATTGTGTAAAGTCTGAGGAGGAATTTTCGTGGGTAACATTTTGATGTTCACTTGGTTAAAGGG